ACACACTAATACACACACACACACACACACACACACACACACACACACACACACATATATATATATATATATATATATATATATATATATATATATATACACACATACACATATATATACATACATATATATATATATATATATATACACAACAGTTCTGTCTGGTTTTCGAATCCGATTGACTGATAGCCGTGAGATATTTAAGTAGTATCAGCATCCATACAGCCTCTTTACCCATGTATGTTGTATCACTCCGCTTGCAAGGAGTTCCAAGCAAGCTATTTAAAAAGATACAAAGTTTCAAACCGTCCAAGCGAATCCGTTTAGCAAAACAGACATGGCAAATGATACATTTTTCATGAATGTATCCTTTGATATTAGCTATTAGAAGAAGATGAAAAGACGACATCAATGGAGCAAACTGCAAGAGGTGTAGCCGGTTACATCAGCAGATTTGGACCATTTAGAAAAAAATCTGCTTGAATACAACACTCTGCGGCAAACTGTATGGGCCATACATTGTTTAAAGACATGGTTGGCTAAAAAGGAGCTCAATATCGACCTCACACATATTGAGCTATGAAGTTCTGCACTCCTTGTTAGATCTAAAGTGTCGTTAGAATCTTTAAAAGATGCACGTTCAGCTGTTTAACTGTCAGCTTATGATTTGAATCCAAAGCGGAAGAAAGTAGTTCCTCATACAAAAGGGTTTTTGAGACTCTCCATGTTTGATTTTGTTTTTATATACACAATTATGCCGTCAAACTGTTGTATAAACACAATATCACAAGAGTAGCAGTGTGACATGACTGTATATCGGCACTGGTGGGGGCACTGCGGCCTCGTGCCAACGCACACCTCCCACCAGTGCCGATATACAGCCATATCGCACTGCTACTCTTGTGATATTGCTCATATATATATATATATATATATATATATACTGCCTTGATAAGGAGAAAGAAAACATTAATAATAAATCTTACCGATTCTGTAGTGTATGTCTTATCAGTCAGAATTTTTTCATAAGTCAGAATGTACTTATCTTTCTTCGTGTGTGTGTGTGTGTGTGTGTTGCAGGTGAGCTGAAGGAAATCAAACAGGACATCTCGAGTCTGCGATATGAGCTTCTAGAGGAGAAATCTCAGGCCACAGGAGAACTGGCTGACCTCATTCAACAACTCAGCGACAAGTTCGGCAGAAACGCCAAGAAACAACCTTGAGGAACAGACTGACACACAGAGAGTGAGACAGACAGAGAGATCGACAGATGAATGGTGCTTCAGGAAAACTGTGGACACTTAAAAATGTCTGAATGTCATTCAGTCGACACAAAATCCCAAATCAAATATCATTCGAGGCCGAGAAAGACACACGAACACACTTTATAAGAGCTGACAGATGGAGGTTTGTGGGGTTTAATGTGCTGAAATAATAGATCTAGCATTACAGATGAAGACAGACAGTTTGTGGTTAGCGGATGGTGCTGCTGGTTAATGTCACCGAAATGTAATTTGTAATTGGGGGAAGAAAAAAAAAAGACTTATTAAACGTTTGAGATGAATGGCCTGTTTGCAGCCACCGTTTTCACTTAAAACACAAAGCATAAGAAGTTTATGGATATAGCGTTTCTGGCTGTTCATGAATGACAACAGCGAGAAGCTTGAAAATGTGGATCTGACTGCAGTCGTTTGGTTTTGTTTGGATTTTTTAACTAAGTGAATCAACCGGCATCCTCATGCCTCACTGTATTTTTTAATTTCAGTCAATCAGTCATTAAGTCAGTCAGTCAATCAATCAATCAATGAGTCAGTCAATCAATCAATCACAGTCAGTCAGTCAGACAGTCAATCAATCAATGAGTCAGTCAATCAATCAATCACAGTCAGTCAGTCAGACAGTCAATCAATCAATCAATCAATCAATCAATGAGTCAGTCAATCAATCAATCACAGTCAGTCAGTCAGACAGTCAATCAATCAATCAATCAATCAATCAATGAGTCAGTCAATCAATCAATCAATCACAGTCAGTCAGTCAGTCAGTCAGACAGTTAATCAATAAATCAATGAGTCAGTCAATCAATTAATCAATCAAACAAACAGCCAGTCAGTCAGTCAGTCAGTCAATCAATCAATCAAACAGTCAGTCAGTCAGTCAATCAATCAGTCAAACAGTCAGTCAGTCAATCAATCTAACAGTCAGTCAGTCAGTCAATCAATCAGTCAAACAGTCAGTCAGTCAATTAATCAGTCAATCAGTCAGCCAATCAATAAAACTGCTAGTTAATCGATCAATCAGTCAGTCAATCAATTAATTAAATAGTCAGTCAATCAATCAATAAAATCAGTCAGTCAATCAATCAGTCAGTCAATCAATTAATTAAACAGTCAGTCAGTCAATAAATCAGTCAATCAGTCAGCCAATCAATAAAACTGCCAGTTAATCAATCAATCAATCAATCAATCAGTCAATTAATTAAACAGTCATTCAATTAATCAATAAAATCAGTCAGTCAATCAATAAGAGTCAATCAATCAATTAAACAGTCAGTCAGTCAATCAATCAATCAATCAATCAATTGAACAGTCAATCGATCAATCAAACAGACAGTCAATAAAACAGCCAATCAACCAATCAGTCTAATCAATCAATAAATCAATCAATCAATCACTAAAACAAAGTCAATCAATCATTCAGTCTGACAGTCAGTCAGTCAGTCAGTCAATCAATCAATCATTAAAACAGTCAGTTAATCGATCAATCAAACAATCAATCAAACAGTCAATTAATCAATCAATCAACCAGACAGTCAATCAAACAACAAAACAGTCAGTCAATCAATCAATCAAACAATCGATTAAACGTTCAATAAATTAAACAGTCAACCAATCAATCAATGAATCAGTCAGTCAGTCAAACAACAAAACAGTCAACCAATCAATCAATCAATCAATCAATCAGTCAGTCAGTCAAACAACAAAACAGTCAATCAATCAATCAATCAATCAGTCTGTCAGTCAATCAATCGATCAATCAATTACTAAAACAGTCAGTCAATCAATTAATCCATCAACAAGACCGTCAGTCATACAATCAATAAATCAGCAGAGAACACATCAGACAAATAATATAATACAATACAATACCATACAATAATATGACAATAAATGTCACGTAAAATGCCATTTAAATTCACATTGGTTGCATTTAACTCTGAATAAAGCACACAATATCAGATCAACACACATTCAGAATAATGAAAATGGCCTTTGTGTTTTTTACTTTGTGTTAGAAACATTTAGACTTTTCATTTCGTCGCAAGTCAACATCTCCAACTTTCAAACTGCAAGGAAAAAGTCCAAAAGTGCGATATAAAATCACGCAATAACTCATTTTTAATAAGCGTCCACAGAACTGACATCGCCACAGATCACCAAAACTCCCGCTGATTCAACACAGACTACAAACACAACATGGGAACTGTAGATGCTGCGTTTGAGGCTCGCAGACATTTGATCTAACCAATAACATTCAGACATGTTTAATGTCAGCTTATAACGAACACTGCAGCGCTGAAGCAAAAAAAAAAACAGTGATGTTTTCAGATTAAAAACTCTGCTAATATGATTGCATTATTTAGTATTAGCAAAGAATACTTTTCTGCAAATATAATATTAAGGAGGAAGTCTGAATGTGCGAATATAAAACCAACTTCACCCCAATGTGTTAAGAGCTACAGTTGATCGTGATTTACACTGATCCTGATCACAAAGAGACAGCCAGAGATGAAAACACACAGACCGAGACTAAAGAGGGTGAAACGGGCTCGCAGCAGGTATGCAGTGGTGCATTCTGGGATTTCACCTCCCTTAAGAGTCATTTCCTGTTCTCAGATGGTATCTCACTGGAGACTGACACACAGAAGAGGGAAACAGCAGATGAAAACACTGTGATGCTAGCGCTTATGATATGGTTTATTATCAACACTGTTTTCATCATTTAATTACGAGTTGAAGAGTGAGAAGAGCGTAAACATTGTGTTTCTCTTTACAGCATATACAGGCCATCTAATTAACACGCGCTCGCAAAAACACTTCACCCGAAGAACAAAAGGAAACATTTAATTAGATTTTTGCATGAAATGATGAGCTTATTTTTAGGGACTTTGGGGTTGTTGTTGTTGTTAAGCACATCTACACTTAAAGTTTCTTTTATGCAACAGGAGATTATTAATGTACATTGGTATTATTTAATTTAACAATCAAGTAATAATTTTAATTCATTTTTTCTAAGATTTTGTGTTGCTATATTGAATATGGACATTCTTAAAACGTCTGAAAAATGTTATTAAACTAAATTAAAATTGTATTTACATTATAGTATTTTTTATTTATTATTTATGACATTTTAATTAGCAATTTATTTTAGTTTAGTGTATGTATATAGATAGATATATATATATATATATATACATATATATATATATATATATATATATATATATATATATATATATATATATATTTATATATAT